ACTGATGGGCGTGTCCTTTAGCCAATCCGTAAATGTCACAGACCTACTGATCTGATTCAACCAACAATTGGTCCAGTTATCAACGCTATTTTCAAGTTGTGAACAACTCGACTTTCAAGATCTACATACCTACATGTGCCGATGTTTCTGTTTATGAACGTTATTTATACGATGTTTCCGTATATAAAAGCTATCTTCAAGTTTTGTGCACCAAAAAACTTTTCAAGTCTTATCTTATTTAGAGTAGTAAACATACCTATCTAAGAGATTGTATAGCATTATCTTAGTTAGAGTGGTAAACATACCTATCTAAGGTAATGTATTGTATTATCTCAGTTAGAGTGGTAAACATACCTATCTAAGAGAATGTGTAGTATTATCTTAGTTAGAGTGGTAAACATACCTATCTAAGAGATTGTATAGTATTATCTTAGCTAGAGTGGTAAACATACCTATCTAAGGTAATGTATTGTATTATCTTAGTTAAAGTGGTAAACATACCTATCTAAGAGAGTGTATAGTATTATCTTAGTTAGAGTGGTAAACATATATTTTATATCAACGTTATATTTTAAGATCTGTGCAAGAACTCAGCTAACAGATGTTTCCGTATATAAAAGATATCTTTAAGATAAGACTATACATTCTCTTAGGATCTTTTTTAAGTTCTTATGTAAGGTTTTCAATGGCCCGTTTTTTAACTCAATTAATTTTTGGAGGAAGAAACAGATATACTCCCCGTATTTCACATACAATAATGCTTTACAATTAGCGCCATCTACTAGCAAAATGCAATACATTAAAATACTAACTGCAATAATACGAAAACACATTCTGATATAACCCCATGTATATCCCCAAAAAGAAATTCTCGTACACTCAATGTAATTAATATCAAATTCAACTAGGTTCGCCTTCAGAGTTCAATAACATAGGGTTCACTGAAAATCCTAATATAAACTGTTCTAACTCCATTCCTGTCATCCTCTGCCTTCTGAATTGCTGCGTTAGTCTTGTAGTGAAATTTCAATATGTAGCTCATTTTGGTAATTTTGTTCTCTCTTTCGAGCTATCAAGTAGATAAAGAAGTACGTTTCAGAAAACTTCACCTGACCTACCAAATTTCTAGTACAGCTCCCCTAGTAAGGCTATCTACTCCAGTAACAATTTGCTTAACCTTCCCAAATTTCCAGAATCCCCCAAGATAATTTTCATCCTTAAATAACACAATATTGCCCTTTTGAGTGCCATAATTTTACTAACATGGACCAATCTCTTGCTCATATACTCGGGAGAAATCACCGAATCACAATCCAATAAAATTTCGGAGCTCTTTTCCAGTAAAATCAGTATTTTTATCATAAAGACTATGTAGAGTAAGAGGTTCTTCAGAATCCTCTGATGAAACATGTGAGTGGACGGGTTCGGAACCATTTCAGCTTCAGTGACCACAGTTATATGTTCATCATATGACAGGTTAGATGCACTAATACCTTTTCTCAACCACCTTTTCAGAGATTTCACCAACCTGCCAAAGGAACCTCCCACCATGATGCTGTCTCCAAATAATACGACCGTTTGATGTGCTCTCATGGAAAATATTGCATCATTATTTTAGCACTGTCAGAAACTATAGTCATAGGGACAGATCTACGAGTAGTAAATCTCTGAAAATATCTTAGAAATGCTGCAGAAGTAAGATCGGGAACAGCTTCTTGAGGAACGACTCTGATTACACATCATCTAAAAAGACAAATCTATACCTTGCCAATTTGCTTGTTTTATAATTTTTTAGGGGACATTGTGCTGTATATTAAGAGTAACAATTACAAAAAATGACGTTTTTTAGCAAAATTATCTAATATAACTTACAGCCAACTAGTTTCGGTAAACATGTTATCATCATCAAGGCATAATTCTACAATGTCCTTTAAGTAACTATTTAGTTCCAACCGTTTATGGGTGAGTTCATGGACATTCTCAGCACTTCACATAATATATCTGTCTGAGTTTGGATGCAAAATACCCAGCCGAATTTGCTGTAGGCTTGTTAAAATAGGTACTAACAATTTCAGCTATGTACGAAAATCAGTAGAATAAATCATCTACTGATAAAAACTCACTGAAATAGTCGCAGAAAACCACGTGGAGACAAAGTACAACACAGAACTAAAAGAATGATGAATCTTCAACGTGGCAGTTTCCAATTAATGTACTATAAGTTGCACAAATTATTTTACAATTAATGAACATTAATAAAACACCGGATTCTGTTAATGGTGGGAAATGAAGGACTTACAGAGAAATTCTTCAGGGTGAAAAACTGAAGACATTTGAATTAATATTTAAGGTACCTTGTGACATACTCAATACTGCATTTACTTCAGCTGTGACAATTTTGTTCTTGTTTTTTTTTTTTTTGTAGCAGCTTGTAAAACTACAATGAATAATAATAAGGCTGAAGACACTGTTATAACTCTACATATTGTTTACTCTAATAAAACGAAGCATTTCCGACTAGTATGGCCCGGCATGGCCAGGTGGTTTGTCTCGTAATCTCAGGAACGCGGGTTCGAATCTTCGTCATACTAAATTTGTTCACTCTTTTAGCCGTGGGGGCGTTATAATGTGATGGTCAATCCCACTATTCGTTGGTCTAACAGTAGCTCAAGAGTTTGCAGTGGATGAAGATGACTAGCTGCCTCCCCTCTAGTTTTTCACTGCTAAATTAGGGATGGCTAGCGCAGATAGCCCTCGTGTAGCTTTGCGCGAAATTCAAAACAAACCAAACTGACAAGTAGAAAATGGAGCATTTTTGATTATTATAACGGTGCTTAAATAGCTTTTGCATTTTTCTGGGATGCTTGTATGGATTCATAGAGCTTATGTTGGTAACGAAAAAGAACTTAGAACTTTATTTGCCGGGCTTATATACTAAAATAGAGGGCGCCTAGAAAACACTCGGGCCTTCATGATCCTTCTAGAAACTCATCACGTGTTAATAGAGTCACGTGACTTCTGCTGTCGTGACAGTATGTGTTTCTTGTCGACAGTGGATAAGTTGGTATTAGAGTCAGTTTTCTAATATATAATTTTATTTATTTCTAGTTCATAGTTGCTTAGCGGTATTAGAGCAAGATTTCTATCAGGTGATATGTATGCGTTTCTTGTCGACAGAGGACAATCTATGTTATAGTGTCAGTTTGATGACACCTAACTATGTATTTCTAGTCGCCAGTGTCTAACCTAGTTAAAGCTAGTCATTTAAAACGTAATATATTTGTCTTTCTAGGCGACAATTGCTACGTTATAGTAGGGTTGGTTGTCTAAATACGTAATATTTATGTATTTCTAGTCGGCAGTTGCTATGCTAGAGTTAGTTTTCTAACTGGTAATGTTTATATATTCCTAGTTGACAGTTTTTAACGTATGTTAGGGTTAGTTGTCTAACACATAATGTTTATATATTCCTAGTTGACAGTTGTTAACGTATGTTAGGGTTAGAAATTTAACACGTAATATTTATATGTTTGTAGTAACAGTTACTAACCCACGTTAGACTTAGGCATCTAACAAGTAATGTTTATATTGTTACGACAGCGGTAGTCACGTGATGTTGGTAACACGTCATGGTTTCTAGAAGGATCATGACTGTTCCTAACAACTCTAATCTTTTCTACGCGTCCTCTATTTTAGTATATAAGCCGGCAAATAAAGTGACGGCATAGACAATTGCAGACAGGCAGAGACAGAGGCGGACAATTGAGTCAAGCGTGGTAGTGACCGTAAGTAAAGTGCGTTAATCGTTGTGAATTATAGCGTGTGTTGAAGTTAAAGTGAGTGTGGAAATTAAGTGTATTGAAAGTTGTATTGAGAAAAAAATAAACTAGTTTTCTTTAAGAAAGGACTTGTATTGCTAAAGTCTCATCCGAAAGAAATTATACGGAAAATTAACAGACGACCAGAGACGTAACAATATATTAATAGTCGACAGTTTCTAACCTATGTTAGAATTAGTTACCTAACATATACATATATATATATATATATTTCTTGGCAAAAGTTCCTATACTTTGTTAGGACTAATAATATCTATATATTTTTAGATGCTATGCTTTGTTAGGGTTAATTTTCTAACAGGTATTATATGTATTGTTGTAACACTGTTCTTTCATTGGTGGGTTCTTTTAAATTATCAGGTGAAAATAATTCAAAATCCAGTTCGCGTAAGTGGTAATAAACTAGTTTCTTTCTTAACCTTTCTATAACATTGAGCACTGTGGAACTTGTACGCCATGTTTACATATGGTGCTAACAGCACTACACTAATGTAAATAATAAACTTACTTGTACAAGGTAACTCACTATGCGTGAAAGCTGACACAGCTTCAAATACTTCATTAAAAACAAAGACAAATTGACTAATCCACTCTATTGGTTAGAAATAACACATTATCTTCTTAACTAACTTTATAACTATCCTTCAACTAAATTCTTGAAACTTTGCTTACCCACGTATTTATAATCTATCCTCGAATGTTCTGAAAAACATGACGTCAAACCTATAGAATTTAAGGCCTAATTTAACGTCTTCATTATGGCTTGCAGCTCTCTCTAGCTAACATCTAAGTTCATTTCAAAAATAAAGCATGTAACAAATATGCATTTGTTTTTCCTCATAAACTACTACATTTTTTATATAAAAGTTAAAAAAGAGAGAAAAAAGTTTAAAATAAAAAAAATTATAACAGTAAACAATATGTATTTTTAGCCTTCACTTGCGAAGCTACTATGTTAGGGTCAGTTTTCTAAAACGTAATATCTATCTATATATTTTAGTCGACAGTTGATATGCTTTGATAGGGTTAGTTTTATAGCAGGTATTATATGTATTGTTGTAGAACTGTTCTGTCATTGGTGGGTTCTTTAAAATTATCAGTTAGGTTACGCTGTGTTTGGGTTATGTTACAAATTGTAGTATGTGTGTATTTCTATTTCAGGTACTGAACATTTCTGAGAAGGAGTTTTTGGAACAAATGGGAAAGTTCTTCGTCTCGTTTCTTGGTCAGTATGGCTACGACCGAGTTCTCTCTGTTCTAGGACGTCACATGCGAGACTTCTTGAATGGTCTAGACAACCTACACGAGTACCTGAAATTCAGTTACTCCCGGCTGAAAGCGCCATCTTTTTTCTGCGAAAATGAATCAGCAACAGGTTTAACCCTACATTACCGTAGCACACGTCGTGGTTTCTTATGGTACACTGTTGGGCAGATAAAGGAAGTTGGAAGTCATTTCTACAAGACTGATGTCGAGATTGAGGTGATAAGGGAAGAGGTTAAGATGAATACTCTTGATGTCACCATGAAGCTGACATTCAACAACTCAGCTTTCCAGTCAGAAGAAAATAATCATATCGCAAAGATTGACAAAGCGATGCTCCCTGTCCAGCCTCATCTCTTTCTTCAAATATTTCCTTTCTGTGTTGTATTCGATGAAAAACTAGCCATTAAAAGCATAGGGGATAGTCTCCAAAATGTGTTTCCAAAATGCATAGGAAAGAAAATATTGGACATCTTTGACGTCAATAGACCTATCATTGACTTCTCCTGGAAATCAGTAAGTGTCTATTGGGAACTTCTTAATGTTTTCATTAGAATTATCAGTTGGAAAATGTTAAATTTGCATTTAGGAAGTACCATTTTTCTGATGATAAACTCAGAGATTGTAACTGCCCTTTTCGAATTGTCAAACGTTCACATAAGAAGTAGAATTACGAACTGCAAAAATAACTATCACACATCTTAAATGAATTTTCAGTACTGCTGTAGCATGTCCTATCGTTGGGCGGGTTCTTTTGAATGATTTGGTAAAATAATGCAAGATCCCACTATCCATGTAATGGTAGTGAATAAAAATAGGTATACGTCGCACACAAACTTTACAACATAAAGTCTGAAACTACTATATAGCTAATCGTCTTATAACGTTTAACACAAATTTGTTTACAACAAATGCTAACACACTAATTTTCTTACAGAAGCACTGTTACGTATCTGCTTGTTTGTTAATTTCTGGTATAAATTCTTTCCGAGGAACTTCAGCGAAAGAAGTCCATTCTTGATTAAACCAGTTTATTCTTTCTCGATACAAACTTTTAATACACAGTAATTCCACAGTCAGTACGTTTCTCGTCACATTAAACTTAATGTTAGCTTCGAGCTAGTGAGCCGTAAAGTGTGTGTTTTGCACTCGTCGAGAGCGAAGTTATCGACATTTGTGAATCGCTGTGATTTATAGCGTGTATTATAAAAGTTAGAATCATAAATTACACGGAACTCAAAGTAACTACTGCCCTTTCTTCATTTATATCCATTTCTCTGCCAGGCTTATATACTAACGAAGAGGGCATCTCGGACTTCCCCAATCATTCAAGAAACTCATCACGCACGCCAGCAGCGTCACGTGACTTTCGCTGTCGTAACAATATATTATTTTAATTTATACTATAAAGATATATTATGCATAATCTTATGTATGTTCAATCTGCCTTTCTGTGGCGTAAAATATTCTTTCCATTGTGTAAAATACGGGAGTAAAAAAAAAATTCATGAAATAATAAACTGATAAATATAAGAAACCTGCTCACTAAGTGTTCTCTCATTCACGCAAGGCCCAGCATGGCCAGGTGGTTAGGACGCTTGACTCGCAATCTGAGGGTCGCGGGTTCCAATACCTGTCCCATCAAACATGTTTGCCCTTTCAGCCGTGGGGCGTTATAATGTGACGGTCGATACCACTATTTGTTGGAAAAAGAGTAGCCCAAGAGTTGGCGTTGGATGGTGATGACTAGCTGCCTTCCCTTTAATCTTTCACTGCTAAATTAGGAAGGGCTAGGGCAGATATCCCTCGTGTAGCTTTCCGCGAAATTCACAGCAAACTGTCACGCAATATACTGGTAACGGCATCTGATGATCATTCTTGATATTATGTTTATATAATTAACACTTGATCAAAGCAAACTATTTACATAGATCAGAACTAAAAATCAACCCAGTAATGAGTATAGGTAATTAAAAATATTGTTCATACATTGTTATTTGTTAGAATGCATTGGTAAACGACACTATATGGTCTGTTATTAAGTATATTATAGTATCGTTATCAGTATATTCGTCTGTCATGAAGCAATATACTGGTAACGATACTATAATATGGTCTGTCATGAAGTAATATACTGATAACGATACTATAATATGGTCTGTCATGAAGTAATATACTGATAACGACACTATAATATGGTCTGTCATGAATTAATATACTGATAACGATACTATAATATGGTTTGTCATGAAGTAATATACTGATAACGATACTATAATATGGTCTTTCATGAAGCAATATACTGGTAACGATACTATAATATGGTCTTTCATGAAGTAATATACTGATAATGACACTATAATAGGGTCTGTCATGAATTAATATACTGATAACGATACTATAATATGGTCTGTCATGAAGTAATATACTGATAACGACACTATAATATGGTCTGTTATTAAGTAATATACTGGTAACGATACTATAATATGGTCTGTCATGAAGTAATATACTGGTAACGATACTATAATATGGTCTGTCATGAAGTAATATACTGGTAACGATACTATAATATGGTCTTTCAT